TGAATGTTTTAATATGTCATTTTCTTGTTACTTGATAATTGAATGAAGATTGCATATTTTAAATATTATATGATGGGTTGATGGTATGATGAGTTGAATAGTCTAAGTAGAATAATAATAATAATAATAATAGTGCATATTCACCAACAAGATCATGAACACGTAAAATAACTCTTACAAATAAAATAAGATCAACAAAAAATACACATTCTTAAATAAAATTAGTAATTCTAAATAAAATTAATAAAACTTAAAAACTAAAAATAATAAAAGCACTAAAACATAAATAATAAATAAAATGACAACTAAATAAATTACAATAAATACAAAAATATATGATTAAGGGGATTTAGTGAAATAGTTCCATGAGGTTGGAAAAGAGACAAACAGTGAAATTAGAATAGTGTAAAATATGAAGTATGATCACTAAAAAAATGTACGCAGTCTCTACGGAATATAATTAGTTGTTAGGAAAATTAAAATATAAATGATTTAGAAATAAAATATCAATCTTAATAAGAATAGGTAGAAAAAAAAAACATAACAAAAACTTAGAAAAAAAAATAAAGATAACTCATTTAAGATTGGTATGACTAAACTTCAACGGTATAGTGAACCCTATCCTTGGGTGAATGGAAACACCTCTAGATATGGTTAGGGTGTGTGTTGTGTTTTGGGTTACCTAGCGACAGATTGCTGTGACTAATATATGTGTTTTGGCTGTGTGTGCATCATCTTGTGATAGTAGGTATCCTGATCTTATAATGGTATCAATTGGATAACTAATTTACTTGTACAACCTCAAAGAAAACTTTAAAACCTTAATAACTCTAAATTGATGATTTTGTTGGGGAAAATCGAGAATCGAGGAGACCCACTGAGAGGTTATAGATGTCTTGATTTGGCCGAAAATTTACAAAAAATTATAGTATATGAATTTGTGGTATAAATATGGATTAGAGGGAAACTAATGGATGAGTATGGTTTTGGAATCAGAGGTGATGTGATAATAGTGTGCGATATAAAGTGGTTACAATTAGGGAATTAAAAAAGGAAAGAAATTAAGAGGATAATGAGAAAATAATTAGAAATAGAAATTTTGAGAGATAACTAGTAAAGGAGAATAGTGAAGGAAAAAGACTAGTTAAAGCTAGGAGGGAGAAATGAGGGAGAAGTTAGGTAATTTCTCTGCATTTCATGATTTTCCAACATAAAAGAAAACAAAAGTTTTACATTTCTAATTGACTGTATATTGGTATGTCGCATTCTAGGGTGTAGTATATTCCATATACTTACTGAGCCTGTTGTCTTACTCATTCCATTCAAATTCTAATTTTTTTCATATCAGGTCGATGAAGATAATTTATAGAACCAAATCATGAATTTCATGTTTTACTTTTTATCAGGTGAGTTTTAGTCCAGTTATGGACTTTACAAAATTTTGTAACCTCATGATGTAAATCATATTAAATGTTGTACAAGGGATGAATAACATCTGTGGTGTTTTTATTTTTAAATTGTTATATTGTATTTTCTAGTTCAGCTTTATTTGGCAGTGTAGTTTCTCGTTAGAGAACTATGAGCCGTCACAAATTTTCTCTTATTTTTGAGTGAATGTCGATACTTATAAAGAATCCTATTACAACTTATTTGAAATTCTGTAGTTAGAATTCTATGGTTTGTGTTTAGTACTAAAAAAAGAACTAAAATTTGAATGAATATAACAAATTAGCTAGCATGTGATGAGTGAGATAAAACGTAAAACACACTCACTACCAAAACATGTTTGAGAGAAAGTGTGAGATGAAATATAAAACACACTCACAATGGTTGAAATCGATATTAACTAGATAAGTAGGTGCATTCATCACAAATATTTGTTCTCGTGTCAAAAGATTAATGACTTTTCACGCAAAAATATTAACTACTAATAGATTTTCTGTTTTTGGCATGAACCAATTGCATGAAATTCTTATTTTTGGACAAGTTTGGTGGATGTTCTACTGGGTATTGGCTATTCCTCTCAATGAAATTTTTTGTGTGATAAAATCTATAATTTTCTATCATGTCATGTTTGGATATTAGTCGAAGTGGTTATTCATTGATGTGATTCTCTGAAATTCATCTTGCA